ATTGAATGCAAAATCTTTCACATTGCAAATAATATACATATGTTTAAAAAAGCATTTCCCACAAACATATGATTCCTTTCTTTGATTTTTTTCTTTCTCGAATTATCCATATGCTGTAAAATTAATTAAATTATAATGTAATATTTTGAATCTTTAAAAAAAAATTGAAATTAAATGATAAATGTGGATGAAAAGGATTAATTGATGTAAAATTTTTATCACTTTTTTTTCATTTTCCTTGCTTATTTTACACTTTTTTATTTTTTTATTTTATTATTATTTAGTTATTTATTTCTATTATTACTTTTCTTATTTAATTTATTTTTGATGAAACTAATCAATAACATTTTTTTTTTTCTTAAATATTCATTTATATATTATCCATATGAATAATTAATTCATTTAAATCAATTCATTTAAAAAATAATATTTTTACAAAATTGCCAATTTAATTATTTTAAATATAAATTCCTTTTTTTTTAAACTCTTTTTTCTTCTATTCCATTGTTTAAAATTAAAAAAAAAAAAATTGTTGTAATATTATCACAACTTACAAATAGAAACATCAATTGAAGTGTGAGAAAAAAAAAAAATCTTTGACAAATTAATTCCTTCTTCTGTTCCTCTCTTCTTTCTTTCCCTGTCTCTCTCTCTCTCTCTCTCTCTTTTGTTTTGCAACATTTTAAATTTACTATGCATACGTTTTCTTTTGTTTCTTTTTTTTTTATTCATTCTCTAAAGGGTACTTTAAAAAAAAAAAAATAACTTGTTGTGATTTAAGCTTTTTAATTTGCAGGCGGAAAATTAACAAAAATAGCTTAATTCTTTGATGTAAATAAAAAAAGGGAAAAAACAAAAGATAAATACAATCTCTCTCTCTCTCTCTCTTTCCCTCTCTCTTTTCTCTCCCTCTCTCTTCCAGTTACAAGTAAACAATAAAAAAGGGAAAAATTAAGGTAAAATTTAAGATAACTTTATTTATAATTGTTATTTTATAGAATGCTTTTTTCCTTTTACTGAAAAATTAATTTTTATTTTCCTTTTTTTGCCTTTATTTTGATTTTTACAACAATACAGAAAAAGCAAAATTTAGTAAAAAATATATTTGAAATGATTTAATTTATCAAAGGAAAAAAAAATTATTATCAATGTTTATGCTATGTGTAAAACATATTAATTATTGATTAAATTGATAAATAAGAATTAAGTTAATGGCTACTATAAAATTTTTGTATTCAAATAAACTAAGTTAAATTAAATTTAATCAAAGAAATGATACTAATATTTATCTATGTTATAAATCATACAAATTATTGATCGAATTTATCAGGAATACTATAAAAAAAAAAGAAAAAAAACAAATTAATGTAATGAAACTAATTTATTCATCAATAAAACAGCGTGTTTTAATTAATTTATTTTTTTTTCATATTGTAAATAAATCTTCACACTACTCTGATTTTATCAATGATAATGATATGATATTTTTGCAAAATTTTAATTACTGATATAATTTTCAAATTCATTTCATTTTACATAATGATAATTATTTGTTTTTATTTTTTTTCTCCCTTTTTTTTTAAAAATGTATATCAGTATTCATGTTTTTCAACTTCTCTTCCCCCCCTTTTTTTTTTTTTTCATATACATCAAATTATTTTGTTAGCATTCATTAAATCGTTCTCAATTTCTAATTTTTGTAAAAATCCGAAAATTAATTGTAGCATAATATAAACTAAAACAACTTTGAACCAATAAAAAATGCAAAAAAAAATGATTTTCCCCTTTTCTTTTTTTTTTAATTTTTGAATTTTCTTTTTCTCTTTGCGAAACATTCAAAAAGAATTGTATTTAAGTAAAAAAAAGAAAAAGAAAAATTACATTGTGAAATTTTTTTTTTGTATTTCAATAAAATTTTGTTTATTTTATGGCAAATATTTTGAATATTAGCTTAAATACATTTTAATCTTTCGTTATTTTCCATTTCATTTCAAACAACATTTCATCAATTTTTCGAAATTTTCTACTCAATAAGCGGAAAGATTTTTGCACAAAAAAAAAACAAAAAAGTTTTTTCAAATCAATCAATAATTCCATCTTTTAACACTAACTAAGGATTTAAAAAAAAAAAAGCAAAAAGCAAAGAAGGAAAATTTAATTTTCTCAATATATTGTCATTTTTTAATTCATAAATTTCAAACCCAAAAAATAATTTCATTCGTGTAGCATTGCTTTTTTTTCTTTCTTTTTGAAAATTAAAATGCTGAAAAAGAATATTCTTTTTTTTCTTGTCTCTTATTAAAACTATCATAGAAATTAATTAATGATTTCATTTAAAACACTTTTGCAAATTTCAATAAATACAATCATTTCTTGAAAGGTATTCCTTTTTCTTTTTCCATTTTTTATTTAGTTAAAAAAAAAAAAATATTCCATTTAACAATATTTAGCAATTCTTCGAATATCATCACCTTTTTTTTTTCTTCACATCATTTTTTTTTCTTTTTCATTTTATACAATTTCCGCTTGCTATTTGATGATTAATTATCAATAAGACTAACTTTTCAAGAAATATTTCCCATTTCTTTCATTATTTCATTTCATCCTGTCACAAAAATCAATTTCCTAAAAACTGCTATACTATTTGATATTTGATACATAAATATCATAAATTAGCAATATTAAATTTACTAATTAAATTTAAATTTAATAACTGATTAATTTAGTAATTAATTTTTTAATAACTAATTAATTTTAATAACTAATTAATTAACAGGGAAAAGAAAAAAGGAAGTGCCAGCATCTATATATATGTGATATATTTGAGTTTGTTTTTTCGTTTTTTTTTTTATTCTTGTGAATTTAATTTAATCGAATTTAATGAAATCATTAAAAATATCTAACTGTTATTTTAAATAACATCAAATAATGATATATTAATATTACAGTATTGCAATTCCAGATTTGATTTGTCATTTCATGGATAATATTACCAGAATAGCATTAACTACAATTATTTGCACTTTTTTTTTTAACACGACAGTTTTATTTTTTA